AGTTTTTCCTGTGTTTATATAGCCTGATGCAAAGACGAGTGTATAACTAAGTTGGAAGAATTCGAGACGGTTACGCAAACCCRAAACGAAGTCGAGCGTTTGATGTTGTTTGAAAAGCAATAGTTACAACTTACCGGATATTCTTTTCTAGGATCAGGTTTGGATTCCTATAGAAATGTTTAAAAACAACATTACTTCATATAAATAACTATACARTAGTCAGAGCATCACGTCTACGGCTAACGGCAGAGCTGAACCAATGATCTAAGAATTTCTTCCCTGACCTTGCGCTTTTGGTAGTCATTTGAAAGAGCGACTTTTCACGATTATGGCAACCCCAAAATAACTCACGCTCGCGTTGAAACTGTAACGGTAAACCCCAAAGAAGCAGGTCACGTGATCTTTTCTGCAGTTTGCCGTTTGACGTAAACGTCATGCTTGAGCTGTCTAATGGCGTTCAYTAACCCATGAGCCTGGAATATTCGTATTGTGGCAAAGTGGTCGATTAATAAAATAAAGGAAAAGGAAAACGAGGCAATTAAAGTGTATGTTACAAAATCTGGTGTGTTAGCTCTCATTTATTTTTTTGTTTGCATTTGTCTTTTGCTTACCATCTCATAAAGCTCGATTGCCTAAAAAACATGAACGAAATCCAATCAGAATGAAACAAACACAATAATACTTTATTTAGAGGCAATCGTCCCCACGTTTCAATTTCCAGCTTCCCTAGCCCTGCCAATTTCTGACAAACCCTAATTTCGGTCTTTATTCCATTTCTCTATCCTGTGTACATTCGTTCCTCAGCCCTCCAAAAAAAATCGGGGGAGACAACGTCTTTGATTTGCCGTTTATTATCGTCTTCTGAGGTGTCCTGTGGTGCATGTACACAGATGGAAGGACGGAATTAAACGTGAAAAATGGACTCCATGGACATACAAATTTTTTCTTAGCTATGGTGCGGGACTTTGGCCCCACGTGATGGGAGCTCCACTATAAGACGGATCATATACTTAGACTTGACGGTTGGAAATTGAATCGTACGCCAGTCATGTATCAAAAACATTATTTCACTAAATTAATTCTATATAAATTGATTATATTTCTAGCACTTTGATTATTATCAGCTAGAGCAGAAGTTTGAAAAATGAGCACAGTGTGCCATTTTTTCTACAAACACGCTCTCCCATCCATTTTATTTTGTTTTTGACCGGTTTTACGTTATGATGCACGATATTTTCAACAGTCAAGCCCGCGGAAAATTTGAAACTGCTTATTTGAACTGTTTATTCGATACACGACACGATCAATATCAAATAAATGTCAAATAAATGTGTTTACATTGATGGCATCATCATTGAATCATGTAAACATTCCGTTTTC